TTGTAGGCATTTACTTTTACTGAGAGTAACAATTATCTGTGCCCTTGAGTTTTAAAATCATATTCCTATTGACATACTTAGCTTATCTGAATTGCTAGACAAACTTTAGCCATAAACAGACACTTCACTTGTTGATGTAGAACTGCTGGAAAATTTTACTGCTTGTTTTATTACTTAGGCTGATAAATAGGTATAAATTCTGTTCCAAATGGTTAGAGTTTATTTATACTTGCACTGAACATGAATGGCCCATGGCAGGAATAAGAAATATGTGGCCCCCTTATGATCACTACCCACTCCAAAGACTCCTGAGCATAATTGATCATAACCTTACTTCCTGCTGAGCCGAACTCAGCCTCAGAATCCTTCTCAACAGCAGCGAATGCAGCCGCCATATGCAAATAGAAAACTATTTGCTACCCACAGTTTAGGGTTAAAATATCTTATTAAAAGCCTCATAGATTTCCTTCTTTCCTTATCATGCTGTGATTGTCTTTTCTGAAATTTTGAAAACTTTTGTGGTGTTTTCATTTTGACAAGTAATGATTTCTTTTCCTTCAAGAAGAGGGGCCTTTTACTACATTTTAAAAAGAATTTCCCATAGCACCTCAAATACACCTAAGTACACATTTGGGACTCAATAAATATTTAAGTCTTGTATAGCCTTAATGCTAGAAATATAAGATAGCAATATCACACGGAGCCACAGAGGACTCAGTTTCAGTGATATCTATAACCGGGGTCCTTTGTCTGTAGATACTCATGGAAGGAATAATACACCAAAGGGCCCCAACAGATTAAGCCCTGGGAAACTGGCAGAGCAAAGAAATGTGGAGGTTCCAGTTCCTTTTGTGTTACATGTTTCCAAAATATAAGGAAATATGCCAAATGCCTTTGACTTTCAAATGATAATATACTCTGAATTAATGACTGCCAAGGAAACACCCACTGAACAGTTCATGGACAGTATCTCTCCAAAGGTCAGATCCTGTTGGCAAATGACCAGAAAACCATTCTCTCTTGAGTCAGTCAACCACTTCTATGGCCAGGAAGCACTTTATCATCATCTCAGCATTATAAAAGAGAGCATTTAAAAGTATCATTTGCAGTTAATCTAATAACTCCACTGAATATCACCAAATTTGTGCATGATACACCTTTGATTTGGGGCCCTGACATGATTTTAAGGGAAGCCATTTTTTAAATAAAAAATGTAAAGATAAAGATAAGCCTTTCAAAAAAAAATAAATAAAAACAAAAAGAGAAACAAAGATTTTTAATGTTGTCATTTAGCAATATAGAGGATAAACAATAATATTCTAAGGTTAACTTTAACGCAAATGCAATTAAGTTATATGAGTCCCCTTTAAAACTAAGTATGCATCTTAAAATACTCTCATTGATCAATCTGCTTCATTTCAGATTTTGAGGGTTTCTAAAGTAATTAATTCTCTAGTTGTCACCAACATATATGATGCTTTTCTCTGATTCCAGTACCTAGACCCATTTTTTAGCTGGAGAAAATGGAACAGTTAAAACATTTCAATTATTTGCTTAATTAAAGCAAGAATAAACTTAACAGTCATTCATTTGTTCATTCAACATTTATCAAGTACCTGCTCTGCACCAGAAACTGTTAGGCACTGGGGGATAGAGAAGTGAACAAAATAAATGTAGTTTCTACTCTCATGGAGCTTACAATCAGGTCAGAAATCTTGTATTAAACAAGTACAGAAACAAATAAGCCAGCCACTCAGATAAATACAAAGCAATCAAATAAAGGGTGCTTACGACTTTCAGTTCACTTAAAAAAACTATGGTTTCCTGCAGAGAACCAGTTTAATCTAAATTTTGATTTGCACTATAAAAGAATTTCAATTAAAATTTAAAAATACAGAAAGTCTATTATAGGCACATTAAATTGTTATTTCTCAATGTATTTGTGTTGAATTTTAAAATGACAAGGCATTTTTTTAAAGAAAAGAAGTGCTAGTTATCCTAGAAATACCTTTAATCAAGGCAGTTTCCAGGGGAATTAATGACGATTTTAGGTTAATGGTCACTGGCTTCATGTTTGGCTCTCAATTAAACTCTAAACTTCAATTGTTATGACTTAATTGACTTGGATACTTTTCATGTCAGCATTTCAAAATGATCTTCCTTTTAAAAAATAAAAATTACTCTGGGTAGCACGGGTTTGTAGTTGAGCCTGACATTGTTGTCACTGTCCTTGCCTATGAGATGAGACAGCTCAGGATAAATCCAAGTGACGAGAGAAGAGGGATCAAAAATTAAATATATCTGTTGCCATGATTATTATTAAAATGCCAGATAAATCCACTGAGACCTGCTTTATTCTAAGTGCAGGGAGTTAGGCAGTCTTAACAAATACCTTGAGTATCACAATTAAGTACTTTCAAGTTATACTTATTTTAAAATGTTATTACATGTATCTTTTCCTTACAAGTGACTCAAATATTTAGCTGTTCTAGTTAAGTAGATGAAAAATTAAATCTCCTTTACCTATACAAGAAACAACAATAAGAACAAGATGAATTTATTTAACCAAGGAGTTGGATTTTATATACAGTAGGTGTGACACCAAGATCGAACTTTGCTATACCGAAATAAGTTAAGGCATCAAATGAGCATTTCCCCTCTCCCTGTATTGTGGAAAAATTTTAAAAGTCTTTTTGAAGTACTTTGATCAAGCTTTGAAATCATTTTAGGGGATTACTATTGTATGAAAACTGTAATTTATAGTGCTTGACCTAAGCGGCTCTTTGTCTCACAGCCATATTCAAAACAATAGCAGGAAAGTGAAAAACGCAAGGGGAACCCAAGCTGTTCTGGTTATTATTTAATTCATAATTCCATCTTCCTTATTTAATCTTTGGAACCCAGGCATGTTCTAACTAAAACGAGCTCAGACCATGTTTACCATGTATAGGAAGGTTAGTTTTGAGTAACAAGATTAGAGGATCCAAACTTTGTCACCTGTGACCCTTCCTTAACCTAAGAGTGACTTTACACAGATAGGTTCAGTAGGTGCTTCTCTATAAATGGTGACATTGCAGGCGAACTCCTATTGTTTGCCTTTTAGTTTCCTCTGTAGTTAAGCTCGCTTTGTTCCTCAACCCTAATCAAGAATGTGCCATAGGGAGATTTTTTTTCCTCCCATCCTTGTCACGAAATATTAATACTTGGTGACAACTTGCTTCCATCAGGTCACATGGAAAATGGCAAGCTGCCCTCAAGATGCATGAGCTAGGAGTGATTCTCTAATTAAATCATAAGACACTTAACTATTTTAATTCATAATTTTAATCAGCTGAACAATACTCGGGCTGCAAGGAGCTACCAAAGCTTACTCTTTTTTTTTTGGCTATTTTTGCCAAAACATTTATGGAACATTTATGGCATAAACTTTATACCATATTTAACCCTATAAAATCTTATTAAAGTTTTATGATTCTTCAGATGCCACGTACACACTTCAATATTTTGGCATGTGGAGGATACTTGGTTGTGCTTTTCCTCAAACTGGTTAAGCCAATTGCTCTCCCCTCCAAATCCATCCCCCGCCCCAACAAGCATCAGGATTTAGATGAGATACATTTTTGGTCCCGGGATCATTTTCTAGAGAGAAAAAGAGCCAATAAAAGTAGTAAGAAAATGCAGAACATATGTCCAAGTGGAAGGAAACTGGCAAAGGCTAGTGAAGAGGAAGATGAGCAGGAAGAAATGAACAGTGCACAGAAGAAGCATTTAAAAGTAGTGAGGATTTAATTCAACCAAAACGCCAGGTCTACAGATGAGAGCAAGTAAAAAAGAGCAGACATTTAAGGTATCTTGTTCCAAAGAGGAAAGGAAGCAATGGGAGTAGCTCCCTGGTGAGGAGTGAAATTAACTGTTCACTTCGGCATTAATTAGCGTGGCCCGTCGGGGTGCAGTTTAGTAGATGACCTCACCAGGGCTCTAAGCCATCCCCTGGCGGCGTGAATGAGTTAGTGCACCCCCTAAAGACCCACAGTTTATCCTCTTTTCCAGGGTGGAATCAAGCTTTGCTGATAATGAGCAGGTACATAGACCTATGGTTAAAAAACAAAAAAAACTTCCCCTGGAGATCCAGCTGTCTACTTTAGACTTGGAGCCTTCCCTTTTATATGCAATTTTAGGAGTGTTTTAAAGATTGACATACACATCACCAGAAGGCAAAAGAAAGAAAAAGGATTCTCTACTGTATATGGGTTTTTTCTGCAGGGGTACAGATGGGGGTGGGAAAGAGTCTATGAAGTCACCTTAAATAGCAGTCCTGGATCAGCTGTGCTCTGAGCTGATACTTCTCCGTGCTTCAGATGGGTCTCTCATGCTGGTGACAGCAGATGCCCGGCAGGGCTATATATGCCAGAGAGTACATCGTTTAGTTTTACGTTTTACACACACTCCTGCTTTCTGGCTTGGCATAACTCATTAGCACGGTGTGCAGAACGCTCCATAAAACAAGACTTGGCTTTAATGTTAATGTTCTAATGATGACAGCAATAAAAATAAATTGTCATCTGTGTCTACTTTCTGAAGCTGATGTGTATATTGTTTAAGCTAAAAAATCAAACCAGCAAACACCACATAGAGACAAGACACACAGATAAGTATTTTTAATATAAAAACAAAAACAAAACAAACCAAAGAAAAAGCCAAAGAGGCTTTATGCTTCCAATTTGGGAACATTACTCCCTTCTCCATCCCTCCAATTCAAAAGTAGTAAATACAATAATCACCTTAGATTTTGTGTGAGAAGAAAGCTTCCTTTTGAACAACTTGTAAACTTAATGTTAGTATGTACAGTTTACTAATGGTTTCTTTCTCACTTCTAAGGGCCAAATTTTAAAGCCTCATTCATAAAGAGAAGGTGGTGCCACTTCTGGGGAACACCAATACCTTCTCACAACACATTATGTCAGGGCACCAGGAAGAAGAAAAAATACAAAACGCAAGCACCTTTTTTATTTTTTAATTTATTTGTGCACGCTCATCATAAATTTGTTTAATGTAAAACTAACAAATTCTTGACAAGGGTTTAACAGGATTTTTAACATCTGTGCAGATAAATGTAATTTATTCCTAAAGAAAAAAAGCAGTTTAGAGCATGCCATAAAACCTGCTTCTAACAACGTTTCTGTTTAAAGTGTGTATGTGTACATGTGTGTGTGTATTGGGCAACACAGTAGTATTTCAAACCATTCTATTTTACTCACAAAACCTGCGTGATGAATTTTATGTTGAAACAGAAGTTTTCCTGACATTTATTTACCATTTCAGCTTCTTCCTCTTTCTTTTGATTTAATGCAGCCCACTACAGAGTTAAAATCCATCACAGACCCAACATGTTTGTGTCCTTTGAAAGGAAAAGCAGCAGGCAGATTTTTGCAAATCTTCTTACGTATAAAATGAACAAAATACAAATGACATATTTAGTCTTTTGAAAGAACCAAGCGAAGTAAGTATATAACTTCAAGGTGTTTTGCAAAAGTAACATTTTCATTAATATATCCAAAATCACTTATTCAACATTATAAAAGTTATTATGTTTTGTCAGTATGGGGAGCAAAGATTTTACTAAATACATTTTTGGGTACAGATTAATTTTTAATTTCCCAAAAGACAGGCTTATAATTAATTTATTGATGTTTTCGCTTCAGACTGAAATCTCGTCTGCAGTATATAAAAGTGAATAAATTAAAGTGAACAAATATGAAATCTCTTTTATTTTGCTTATTTAAAAATTGCTTTAGGTTTATTTCTGGTACACTTAATTCATTCAAAGCTGAACACTGCTAATGCCTAAATTATGTGAGTGTTATATAATTATGTGGTATAAAATACGGATACAAAGCAGTGTATAGAATGAGAATGTAAAAAATTTTTACTCATAAAAATACTGGCTAACGTATATACAAGGGTACTTCAAAAAGTCAGTGGAAAGGTTCATATTATCTTTCAGTTCTATTTTTCTATGAACTTTTCAAAGTACCCTCATAATGACAACTAGCCTGGTTTAAAAATAAACTCTCATCAGCGCTGGCACTTAGCTTCAATCCTCTCTCCTCTGCCCCCAATGCAAAGAAGGAGTGTGGTTTACAGACACATTGTAACTAATTCTTTTAAATGAGATAAATGTAAAATGTTTGGTGTTCAAATAAGCATTAGAAAAAGAGGAAATTCTCATCAAGTGTACTTTTGCAGCTTGGCTTAATGCCACAGAAGTCAGGAAATCATAAAGACCAGACAAAACAGGCACTAAGCACAGGCTGCCATCCAGGTCCACTGGAGCCCTGCAGGTGAGAGCAACAATTTAGCTTCAGACTTTGTGTCTTCAGCTTTTCTAGGTTTGTGCTAGATTGTTCCACGATGAGAATGTAACACTGGGTATCTGTGAGTACATGTGAGGAGAAAAGGGGAGGGAGAGAGAATGAATGGAGGCTCAGAAAAAAAATAAAAAGGGCGATTCGGTAACTGGGAGGAGAATTGAAAAATCACACCTTTCAGTCTCCACATTTTTTCTTTTGTTCAGTATACAAGGAGAAACCATCCGGAAGGAAGAAAGATTATGACTATCTATAAACTAACTGTTTGACAGAGACAGAAATGCTGATAATGAGTGGGTTGTGTCTGTAGTTCTTGGCTGTTCACATCAGCAAGGGATGAAGGAAAACAGAAACTCTTGATATGTTTGTCTAAAGAGGCAGTGGTGTGACCACGGGCAACAAGAGTTCAGCTGAAGTTCAGGGCAGATGCTGCCAGGAGTTTACACTGCAGGAAAGTAAAATTGCTTCCGGATTCACCTTTTCCTCCCAGCTTCTCTTCCAGGATCTTCAGGGTCAAGCTACGCTATGGCATAAGGTGACAATGTCCGTGGGGAAACAGGCTTTGAGCAGGATGCCCCTCTCCCGGTTGCAGTCCAGCTCCTGGATAAATCCGTACCAATAGATGACTAAGCCCGGCCCAAATCTGCAAAAACACCAGAAAGTAACGTAACACACACAGTATCAACATAGCTCCAGAAAAAAGTCACCTCGGAGGAACCGAGGATTAAATGACTGGATTGCACAAAGATTTTGTTTTGGTTGCTACCATTACGACTGAAAGCAGCTGAACTTATTATACCAAAGAGCTCATTTAACACAAGTATTACCACCTTGGATGGATTTGTTCCCTTTCTTTTAAGGAACCTGAAATATTTCAGTACAGGAATTACCCATATTACCTTTCTGTGAGTTGCTATGAGCTTGGGCTGATGTTACTATTTCGCTGATGAAGAACAAAACCAAGGTAGAAACCATGATGAGCTGTGGAACACCCGGCTTGAGATTTTAGTTTCCTAACATTTACTGGTACTATTTTAAAAATTAAACTTGCCTACTTTCAAGAGGGAAAATAAAAAGAATGTTTGAAAAATAATTTTAAAAAATGGAACAGCTTAAGGTCCTCTTCTGGCTGTAATGTTCTATTCATGCGCCAATAGGGCCAGATGTACCACTGTCATCCATTCTTTCTGGTTTTCTCCCTGACCCTTTGCTTTCTGCATTACAACCTAAGTGTGGACACAGCATGAAATCTGGTCATAGGCTCCTATGGAAACGAGAAATAAAGTCATGCAGACTTGTGACAAAGTATAGATAGATGCAGGTTTAAAACCTCAATATTTCTAAGCTGTGCTTCTGAATTATCTCTAATTTTGTTAGCAGTGACTGATCCCCGCCAGGCAGACTCAGGAAGTAGCCCTATAGACGACTTCACCCATCAGGAAGTTGAGACCTTTAGGCTGGGTTCATAAAGATGTAATCACTATCAATCACTATGCACAGAGAGATATTTTGCACATCAGTTTCACGTTTTTCCTACTGAGAGCACTTAATTAAAGGGCAGCACTACTTTTGGTGTAGTGTTGCAGGAATTTTACAGTGAAATCATAAATTATGAATGTTGGGTTAGTAAAAGGATGTCTAAAAACAGAACTGCTTTCTGTATTCTAACATTACAGCAGGCTGAACCACGCTAGGCCAAAAAGCTTTTTCCTTCCATGATTTATTATATGCTGCAGTGTACTTGCCAAAACTAACAGTACAGGATGGGCTGCGAGACACTGGACGCACAGCAACAAGTTCAATTGGATGTCACGGACTGGTTTATTTGGGGATTTGCATCAGTAGGGTAGCCAAGTTGTATTCAAGATTAATTAAAACTTTTTATCCCCTTGCTGGCCAGCTACCAAACAAAACAAAACAAAACAAAACAAAACTCTTTTTGAGTCCTCTTGGTGCAGGGACAGAACCATGAGATGGCAACTCCTCACTTGAACTTGTTCTAGGGGATGCAGGAACCAGGTACAATGAGAAGCCTTACAGCGCCAGGCCCAGCGAGATTTACCTGATCCAGGGCTGGCTGCAGATGCTCTCTTTTCCTCAGCATCTCCAAGCAAGAGTTTCCTTTGAGGTCAGAAGAATTAGACTACCTGTGCACAGGGTCTGTGAGCCCCCCGTGCTCAAATGCACACAGGGTGAAGCTCACACCTGGAGGAGAACCTGCTTCCATTTGACTGAAGGTTTCTTGGTAACTTTTAATCACAAACAACTGTCTGTAAGTAAAACATATACCATTTGGTACCTTTATTTTACAAAGAGTTCTGTGATTAGTACCAGATGATCTCAGATTTGTCAAAACAAGTCTGACAAGAGCAGGAAGATGTGCGATTCTGCGGACCGCGTCTGAGAAGCCTCAAATCCTCCCATCAGCGAAGCACCCCTGAGTTACAGCCTCGACAGTTCTAACACTGAGCTCGACACATTCCTCCATTCTATTATACAGCCATTCTGGAGACCGCAATGTTCTTTAGAAAGGCACTAATATTTTTACAAAGGGAGAAAAAAATGTGATCTAACGAGTCACAGAGAAGAATAAAAGAATATATGGGGGTCATAAAAAACAAGCCCAATATTTTAAAGATTTAATAAAACAAAAACACATATCACCAGCACTGAGAGAGCCAGAGCAGCCTGCACTTTCCCTGAACAGCTAAATCATAAGCCAAAGGACACGAAGCATGACAGGTCTTTACGAAAATGGCATTTTCTAGGCAGAAAAGCCAGGCTGGGGAACACCTCAATGCTCAAGAAAATGGACTTATTTCACATGTGAGGCGACAGATGAAATCTGCAGCTCAAAAAGGTTCTGCAAGATCGTGAACCTGAACATTTCCTGTAGTGGCTCACAGTAAGGATTCCCTAAAGGTGGTAACCTGCATCTATGCACATTTTTTTTAGTAGGACTCATAATAAGGCTCTACCATCTAAATCTTTGTTTCTTACTGAAATAATATTAAGGTAGGTACCATCAGCTCTGTCATATAGCTCAAAACCTCTGATGGACAATATGTGCCTAATGAAAAACAAGGAGACACAACTTCCCTTTGTAAATGGACATTGGTAGAGAGGTTTTCAAATTATGTGGTCTTTGGTTGATAAAAATAATAGGAACTTTAGAAGGTGCCACGTTCGGCAATTTAATGGCAGAACAAGATCTGGCTTTGTTCCCAACACCTACTTTAGTGCATTTCTGAGCTTTCTCCAACCGATCGGGATGCAAAGATTATCAGATACTGGCAAGATAACCTTTCAGCAACTTACCTATTTATGAAGAGGCCGACCACATTAAGCAACTTTATATGATCAATGCCTTGATTATCTGAACAGAAGGGAAATTTCTGGCTGATAATTCAAAAAACCAAGCAATCTAACACTATAGCATTTCCTTCTGGAAAGGCACAAAATGGAGAGAAAACAGGACCCTAGAAAACTTTTATGTAGGTCAAGTGCATGCTTGTGGGTTGAGTGATTTCACCTTTTTGATGCCTTTTCTCATTTACTGTGGCACCACTGGACAACAACGAGATCACTGGGAAGGCAACTATAGACTTTGTGACTAATAAATATCAAAGAAACTCTGCTAATAGCATTTAAAAGAAAACAGAGACCCTGGGTCTGAGGGAATGTGCAAAGCAGAGGGATCTGCTGCTGGAACTGCACCCTCTGACCCCCACCAGCCTGGAGACACTCAGTAATGGGATGTACTCGAACAGCTCAACTGATTCTGCAAACACTTTTCAAGGTTGACTGTAATTTTTAGGTTGCTATACTCATGGTCAAGTAACAAGTCAAAGACAAATTTTAAAGACTCTGGGTAGCAGAGACTAGAACATGAGTGACTTTTGAACATGTAATTTTGCTTGCAAGTAAAATACTAACAAATTAACAAAAACAACAAATACCTCTTGAAAGAATGGAAGGTGAAAGACAGGAGGCATGACAGACCGTGAGCACATGAAAGATGAAGTTCCCCATAAATAATGACAACCTTACAAATGTGTTCAAAATGTGTTTCTTTGGTTTCCTTCCATTTTAGAGTATTTAGAGAGATTAAATAGGAGACTATGGAACTAAAGTTGGGTATCCTATTGTGCATATCTGTCTCCAGGGATTTTCCCTCTGTTTCACCAATTGTTTCTTTGCTATATTGGGACTCCGTTGAGGGCAAAGACCATGTGTTATCATATTCAAGTCCTTCATGCCTAGCACAAGGCCTGGTACATAACAGATACTCTCACGGACAAGATAGAGAACACGGGGTCAGTATTAATAGGATTGGACAGCCTTGTATTGGTTATCAAATCAGTGGCAGTCTAGAGACGAGTGGCAGTGGCTGGCAGGACTCAGCCACTGGAATGGCATGGCATTTTTATTACTGGCCAGATGAGCACACTAATGGTATACTTACAGACCACAGTGATAGTAATAGTAACAAAAATGCTAATTAACACTTTCATAGCACTTACTATGTGCCAGATGCTCTTCTAAGCACTTTACATGCATCAACCCACTTAAATCTTATGTCAACCACATGAAGTAGCTACAATTATCGTCCCTGTTCTACAAATGAAGAAACCAACACACAGAGCAATTCAGTAGGTTGCCTAAGGTCTCAGAGCCTAAAAGTGGAGGAACCAGTTTTGGAACCCAGGCAGTCTGATTGTATTCATTATGATGTAGTGATCAGCTTATTAAACAGGTGATACAGTATTAGACTTTAACCAGAAGAGGAGAGGAAATGCCCTTTGTACTAGATAGACCACACCTAGAGTGTTTTTGGAGGGTTCTCATGCCATGTTTTAAGGGGACTATCTCCAGTCTGACCCAGAGGAGAATCCTAGGATATCTGAGGAACAGCTAGAGAAACAGAATATGTCTGACTTAGAAATGAGCACTTAGAGGGTAACATGCTCACCGTCTTCTGATTTTGAGAGTGCTCTTGGGGAGGAGGGATTTAATTCACACTGTAGCTCTTAAGTGCAGACTTACAGCAATGTTTGAAAGTAGCCCATAATCAGACTTTGATTCAACACAAAAGTTTTCTCTGGTTGGAACTTTTGAAAACATGCATGAGCTGCCTTGCAAAATAGTGACATCTCTGAGAATGGATCAATGAAATCGAGGCTGGGATTTCATTAATTTTTAAAAACTGAGGCAACACATACAAATTGGGAGTTTTCACACAAAATCCTGGATATTCAGCTTCCTTTGATCTGGCAAGAAGCACCTGGAGCTAAGTGACAGTTGCCGCCTTGAGACATAACATACATTCTCCAGTTTGCCACAGCCACCACCATTCTCTGTTGTTCCATGATGCTGAGGTTCAGTGCCAGGTGCCATCTCTCATGATGCTTGTACTGTGGATTTTTCTATTTAATAGAGAACTATTTCTCCATCTTCATGTCTCTATCAAATGTGGGAAAGCAAAAGTTAATCCTACAGGGTTTCATATTTCAAGAAAGAAATGGAAGAAGAAACATTTCTTATGTCCTGCCTACTTTGCTCACTTATGTTGCCCACCTGGACCCTGCGGGCATTTGAATTTTTGACCCTTGCCCTGAGATCTAACCCAGAGGTTCCCAACCT